CCAGGGCAGAATTTTGGGCTTAGAAAGAGATTTTGTCCCCAAGTGCAGCAGAACACTCATGAACACTTATAAAAAAACATAATCAGATTTATATTTAAATCAACTCACTCAGATCCAGAGTGAGAAAGCCAGCAAAGATTATGGAAGAGACATATAGACAACTGGTTGGGAAAGGCTGTACTATCCAGAATAAAGCTGACTATAGGCAAGACTAGGGTGGTACAGGAAGGAGTGTTTAATTTTAGATAATGAAAAGCTCCAACTATGTGCCAGCCATCCTATATATATGTTGAGGAGTCTAGTGGGGGAAATATATTAATCAAAAGAGCAAGAATGACAAAATATAAAAAACAGAACCTTTCCTAATGCTTCAAGAAAGGTTTCTCTTGATGAAAGCACATCTGAACTAAGTTCTGCAAGATGACTAGAAGCCAACTGAAGGACACAGTGAGGAACAGATGGGAATAAATTTCAAGGGAGGGAAAATTGCATTTTTCAAGAAACGAATGTAGCCATTGTGGCAGAATGCAAAGAGCAAAAAGGAGTGCTAAAAAGTGAGGCTGGAGAGGTGGGCTGGGACTAGATCATGCAGATTAAGTAATTTGGTCTTTATCCTAAGAGCCAGGGGAAGCCATGAAAGTGCTTTAAGCAGGGGATGTGATAAAGAAAACATCAAATTTGTGTTTTGAAACCTGTGGTGGCTGCGGCATAAAGAATGGACTGTAGGGGGCACAGAAGTGGATGTGGTTAAGTGGGTTACATACACCATGACTACAGAAGACCAACCAGAAGACGTTGGGAGGTGGATGACTTAGAGGCTGTGCAGAGTACGGAGTTTCCGGCCTGCGCTTCTCACACAGTTCATGACACGTAAGACCACATCATCTGACCAAGGAAGGCATTTTCTTCTTCTTACTCACTAGGGTAAGAACCAGGTCATCTAAAAATTATGTTACACATTAAACTATTAACAATGGTCTCCCTTGGAAAATGGGACTGGAGAGGAGGATGGGAGAAAGAGGAGGGCATTCGTTTTTTACCATCAACACTTCTGTGTGATTTTGTACAATGAAAATATGAATACAAATAGAAGTTTAAAAAAATATATAGAAATCCCATCAGATTTACAAATGTAAGCAGGAAAGAGCTAGGACTATCTTGCCTTAATGCCATTTAGGAATGGAAATTAAGAAAAAAAAGACAGAACACAAATTACTAATATCAGAAATAAAAGAGGAGGTATCACTATAGATCCCATGGAAATTAAAAGGGTAATAAGGGGTAACTATGAACAAGTAGGTCTGTGCCCACAAATTTGAGCAGAAGAAATGGACCAATTCCTTGAAAGACACAATCTGCCAAAACTCACACAAGAAGAATGAGATTATCGGAATGGGCCAATAACTATTAAAGAAATGGAATCAGTAATTAACCTTCTGAAACACAAAGCACCATACCGAGATAGGTTCACTGTGAATTCTATCAAACATTTAAGGAAGAAATTATACCAATCCTCTACAATCTCCTTCAGAGGACAGAAGCAGAGGCAATACTTCCCAACTCATTCTATGAGGCCAGCATTACCAAATACCCAAACCAGACAAAGATGTTACAAGAAAACTACAGTCCAAATCTCTCCCTTGAACATAGATGGAACAAAATATTAGTAAATCAAACCCAAAAGAGTATAAAAAGAATTATACATCATGATCAAGTGAGATTTAGCCCAGACACTCAAGGCTGGTTCAGCACTCAAAAATCAATTAATGTAATCCACCACCATCAACAGACTAAAAAAGAAAAATCACGTGATCTTAACAGATGGAGAAAAAGCATTTGCCCAACTCCAATACCCATTCGTGATAAAAACTCTCAGTGAACCAGGAGTAGAGAGGAACTTCCTCAACTTGATAAAGACTGTCTACAAAAACCTACAGCTAACATCACACTTAGTGGTGAGAAACTAGAAGCTTTCCCACTCTCAGGTACAGGGCAAAGATGTTGCCTGACAGCACTTCTTCTCAAAATCATACTGGAAGTCCTTATTAATACAAGAAGACAAGAATAGGAAATAAAAAGTATAGACAGGGAAGAAAAAAAAGAGATATTAAAAATAGCATAACAAGTATGAGGATAAAAGTAGAAGTAAGTATCAGAATTAACAGTTAAAAGAATCTGATCTGGGCATAGGGAAGGAGATGGCAGACTGCCTTTTTTTTTTTTTAAGTTCCTTCTGATAGTACTTGATTTCTATTTGCATCGATTACTTGAATAATTTTTTGAAAAGCAAATGAAAAAGGAAAAACTGCAAGAACAGATGGAAATAATCACGGATATGTATATAAAAGCTTATTAAAATGAACACATCTCAGTGTTTTTAATGGCAAAAATGTCCTAAAATTACCAAAATGTCCAATAAGAGAGAACTCATTAAAAAATTATGGTATATCTACAATAAATATAATGCAGCCTTTAAAATGTAGAATTTTCAATGATATGGGAAAAGTGTTTATGATGTATAAGTGGAGGGAAAAGACTATAAAACAGTAAAGAAATGTTAAGAAGTCAAGTGTACATACCCAAATAACCAAAACAATAGTAAGTTCCTGGTAGGGAATAAACAACTTCTGTTCTCCTTGTGCTTTTATCTGTCTTCCAAATCCACCAAGAACATGTCACTATTGTAGTAAGATAAGTTCTAAACATACACACTCAAAATTTTGTTATGATGATTTCTATGTTACGGAACCGTGGATGATCTTTATTTGCTATTTTTTTCATTCCTTTGTTCATTCATTCGAACTGACCTTGGGGGTAGAGACAATGCTGTATGTGCAGTAAATCCTTATGGTTCTTTTTATTTACACACAGGACAACTACATTTCTCCATCTTCCTTACCACTGGCCTGGGGTCATATGGCTGGGCTCCGGTCAGTGGAAAAGGAGAGAAATGATGTATGCCTATCTGTCAGGTCCAGCCATAAAACCCTGCAGGATCTACCACTCTAGCTCCTCTCCTTCCACAGAAGATTTGAGGAGTCAAAGCTGACACTGTTACAAGATAGAGAAATCTGGATCCCTGGAAGGCTGGAGCATTCCTGCCACGATGGAGTATGAGAGCAGATAAACTCCTACTCTCTGAAGCCACGGGGATGTTGGGGGTTGTTACAAGCAATTCACCTATCCTAATTAATAGAGCATTACTATTATCTGTGGGAAAACAGAAACTAAAATGGTCCTTCCAAAATATAAACCTTCAATAGCAGCTCATGATCTACTGAAGTCCTCGAGATGGCATACAAGGTCCTCTATAACCTGGCTCCATGCGCCTCATATCCCAAATATCTCATTGTCCCTCCTGAACGCTCCCAAAGTTCCTGGACCTGTTCTTCCCCATCACAGTACTGATCACAACCGTATTATAATTAGGTATCTATTCACCAGTTCCTTTCCCTAGATTGTGAGTCTCCCCTAAGGCAACAGCTGTCTTTCTTCTTCACAGATGTATCTTCAACGCTTAATGCTACATGCTGGGCATGTAAAGGATGCTAGTAAGTATTTGCTGAATAAATAACGTTTTCTTAAATGTTCATAGGAAGGAAGGTAGAGAAGGTAGAGAAAAACAATTCTCTACTGGAAGGTAGAGAAAAAACAATTCTCATTTTATCAGGATATATTTTCTTCTAAAATAAATTCTCAACCTCTGAATATCTGACTCGCCTAAAGCTCTTACAATATTACTGAAATAAAACCAGGAGCCAGGAATTAAATGGCTTTTTAGACTAGAACTGGTTCCTAGACCAAGTTGTTTATGGGTTTGTGAAACTAAAAATTCTAACTTCCTAAATTCAGAATTGAAATTTTTTGGTCTTGAATTTACACTGAAATTACTTATATATATACATATATATATTTTTTAAGATTTATTTATCTTAAATAAAGAGAGAAGCAGACTTCGCATTGAGACTCTGTATTGAGCCCGACATGGGGCCCAATCCTATGACCCCAATATCACAACCTGAGCCAAAATCAAGGAGTCAGGGGGCTCAACCAACTGAGCCACCCAGGCATCCCAAAATTATCTTAGATATTTTAATGGTGGTGGATTCTAAATTATTTCAGATAGGAAGTAACCTTGGAAATCTAAGAATCACCACTGTAACTTGAAATGCCTCATTTTTGAGAGAGACATTCACAGAAAAACAATATATTATGCTCCTTGGAAACTTTAGGGTTAATAACAGCCCTTCCATTAACTACAAAAACATTAGTTTAAATGTATTACACAGCATCTGTCTAGGTTGAGTCTTAGATGTTAGTTCAATAGTACCCACGAAGAATATAACTTACTGTAAAAGTTTGTTTTTATTTTTAGAAAAATCTATAATTTTACCCACTGCATATAGTGAACTGAATTTTTAAGAAATAATTTTTTTACATGGCTTATCTTAAGATATAAAGAACCAAATAACTCTTTGGTTTTGTTATATGGGAAAAACAACACACAGTCCTTTAGTCAAACAACTTTGTGATATTTATATTCCATTGCACAGATATGGGTTATACAAATTAGTAACACAAGTTATTTCTTCAATTCCAAACATTTTCTAAAATATTATTACAGCAGATGTCTAGGATATTAAAACATCAAGGTGGAAATCATACTCTAAATAGTTAAATATGACTGAAAATACTGCACATTTTAATAAGAGGAAAATTAAAATGTGTACTCAAATGCTCTAACAAACTAAGTAGCAGGGCAGCTAACAACTACTAGTAAGTCACTGTGGTCCATTTTTACGTATGCATATATATGATTATTCTTTAGATAGCCCCTCCTCTGGAAAATGCATAATTCAAACGTAAAAATCTGGATAAATGATTTAAAGAAATTTAAATTCGTCTTAACACATAAGATCTATGGTGAAGTGTATCATTATCTATGACTTCATACAACTACTAATTCAAGATAAAAGACACCACACTTGGAAAGAAGAAAAGATTTTTAAAAGGTAATGGTTTTAATTGAATTAATGAGATGAAAAGAGAGTGAAGCCCTGTTTGCTACTTACATGAAAGAAGATCTTAAAAAATAATCACTGCACAAAATACAAAGGGTGGGTTTATGCTGCAATATTAAATTTTTCTCCCGTAATGTTTTTCTTGACTGTTCAAGGACAAATTACAGTTTCCACAGCAAATTTGTTTTCAAAATGCCGAATTGTAACACAATTGCTGACTTCACGTTTCTGAATACCTGTTTGGGAGGGAAAATTTTTTAAATTTCTGGTTCTTTAATAATTCATACTTATCATCATAGTTATTATTAATACATATAAAAATATTTTACTCTATATTCCATGAACTTCTATAGTTGGATTTTTTAACACTGGAGAAGATAATTTTTCTCTCTTGTCTAAACTAAGTATCTTAACAGATCTTAGTAACCAATAATAATGCCACATATAAATTTATGACCTTGAAGGTACTGGAAATATTTCTATCTTGACTGTGATGGTAATGTGTTGAAACTCAGAACTGCATACTAAAGAGGGTGAATTGCATTATATGTGTAAGTCTGGCTTTTTCTTTTAAAAAAAAGATCAACTATAAAGGAAATGAAAGGAAATGGGGAGATACTGTCATTCTTGTTTTTCAGGTAAAAAACAAAAAAGTTAAATGATTTGGCAAAGCTACATTACTTATGTCAGTGCTCTCAATTCTTCAGCCAAATCCCCTGCTAATTACCCTGACTCCAACTGTCTTCAATGTGATCCAAAAGGCAAACTCTCTGTTTAGAACCCAGGCCCCTGAGCACACACCTGCAGAGCTTCTCTAGAGACCGTCTGTACAACAACTCTTGCACAGTGTGACTGAACCAAAGTGGTGGGATGGAAGGCTGGACTGGGTGACTACATGCAAAGTAAGGTAACAGCATCTCAGGGCATTGACACTTCACAGTCACCTAATTCTCTCTATCTGAAAAGAGTGGATTTAGAAATTTAGAGGATTCTCTGGAAATCTAGAAATACTACATAGTGATACAGTATGGTTTTACTTTCTTACTCGTGGCAAGCATATTGAGAACAATACCGGCTTACATCTAAATCTAGTTCAATACAATGAAGTGAAACAACAAACTTTTCTGCCAGGATTTTAATGGTAAAAAGTATTACCTCTGATGGTTTCTCTGCGTTGCAGTTTGTAAGTTTCCTTGTCATGGCACAGTCGGTAAATAAAGAAACCCAGGTGATCGACGTTTTCAATGCGATCAGTGATAACCATGTGTTCGTGAATCAGATAGGACTGAGGCAAATAGGTTCCAGCCTACATTTGGAAGATATATTATATGAATACCTCAAAGCATACACTGAACAGATGAAGAAAGGCATGGAACAGAGGTTGGCAAACTACTGCCCAACATCTGTTTTCATTAATAAAATTGTATTGCAGTATAGTCATGCCCATCTGTTTACATACAATCCATGAGTTGAATGGTTTGCAACACAGATCTTATTTCTTGAAAGCCTACTATTTATTATCAGGCCTGTTAGGAAAACTTAGATACTAATTTAAGAGATTGTATATTTTATTTCAAAATATAAAATAAGGAAAAAACCCAAAACCACGGGTCTTAATTCCTCTTTATAAAACTCTTGGCTATGTTTCCAGTAAGGTGGGCACTTAAAGGGCTAATATCTCAATTAGGAATTCTAAGATGCTTTAGCAGCAGCATTATTAGTACGAAATATTTGAAAAGGGGTGCCTGGGTGGCTCAGTGGGTTAAGCATCTGCCTTCGGCTCAGGTCATGACCCCAGGGTCCTGGGATCTCTGCTCAGTGGGAAGCCTGCTTCTCCCTCTCCCCCTCCGCCTGCTGCTTCCCTTGCTTGTGCGCTCTGTGTCAAATAAATAAAATCTTTAAAATATTTGAACATCAGGACACCTGGATGGCTCAGTCATTAAGCGTCTGCCTTCGGCTCAGGTCATGATCCCAGGGTCCTGGGATCGAGCCCCACATCGGGCTCTCTGCTCCGCAGGGAGCCTGCTTCTCCCTCTGCCTCTGTCTCTCTTATTTAAAGATTAAATAAAATATTTAAAAAAAATAAAATATTTGAACATCTTATACCTTTATGTTAATAAGTAACTCCAGCAGGTTTCTTGGTGGCATAACAATGGAAGTGTTCAGTGGAATCACATAGCACTTATCCAGATTAAGATCTAAATAGGCTGTGAGTTTCTAGAAAGAGAAAGATACATTTTCATTAGATTAATATTTGTAACACAGGCAGCACCTGCAGTTTTAAGAATAATTTGTACAATTAAAATGGGTTGGCTTCAGAATATGTCTATTACTTGCATTTAACAAATGAAGTATTTGGTGGGATAGGAACAGAAGGTAGTAATGAGAGGAAAAATTACTGCTGCTAGTAAACAAAATTCTTATCAGGGGTTTGCTTCTATAAATGATTATCAATAAACTATTAAAATAAATTGCAAATAGTCTATCATCTGATTGAGATAGTCCGTTCTCTCACTTTTAAGCCCTAACACCCTCCAACATATCCATCCAAGTAAAAATTTAATTTCTCTCCTATGCATCTAGAATGGTACTAGTTACTACCATCCTTAGAAAAACTGAAATAACAGTCAATTAAATGATTTTCTGTGTTCTTGTGGTTCAGATGGGAGACTATGGTTAGAGAAAGACTGTCTCATAGGATGGCTTTGAGGATTAAAATGAGTTAAATCAAACCATGTAAACACTTAGATTTCTAAGAGCTCAGTGTTAGTTATTACCTACTATTTGCTTTGGATAGGCTTATTATCTTGAAGTACATAATTTTTTAAACTACTTTATAAACATTCATCAGATGTATTTATCAGGCATGAAATACTTGCAAAGCTAACTTCAGTGATATGCCCGAATGTTCCAACTGGCCAACTTACATACAGGTGCAAAATCCACAGATAATATGTAAACTTCTAATTTCAGAATCCTGGCTTAAGAAAACAAAACATTCTTAGGACAAAAATTATTGGGGCGATTTAAATATCAACTAGATATTAAATAATACTATATTACCATGTTCATTTTCTTAGATGTAATAGTGATATAGGAGTTACTAGAAGAGACAACAGTTCAAATATGCAGGGGTCAAGTGTCAAATAGGAGAAAAAGAAATTAAGAAAATATGGTAAAATTTTGGAAGTAGGTGGAGGATTTGTGACAGTCACTATTTTCTCACTTCATCTTTCCTGCCTTGCATAACAATACTGAATCCTAGAGGGAAATGTAGAATGAGAACTTAAAAACTGATTAACGAAATGATGCAAAATGAAAAAGCCACACAGAAATAGGACCATGAATCACCTCTTATCTAAGAACACAGGGCGTGTAAGAAATAGTACCGATTTACTAGCAAAGAAACAGAAGCCAGAAGGTGAGCCCAATCAAATGCTGGATAGTTTATAAGGCAGAAGAAATCAGCAAATACTGAAATTAAAAATGTAAAAAGCTTCAATTAAAGAAGTTGCATTTTTTTTTTTTCTTTTTACAGTTCCAGGCACCTGGCTCACCTTGTTAAAGTCATGAACAATGTTGGCAGGATCACTATCTGCAAATTCTGGGACAGGGACACTGATGAATTCAACCTCTTCTTCCTCAAAGATCTTAATATTTTCCTCAATTGTCTGGTAGCGAGCAGCCGGGGCATCTGCAGAAGGCTCGTTTAAGATGACATCATCTTTGATATACTTTATTCCACAGTAGTACACGTCATCAGGCTATAGAGAGTTTAAACACTATTTCAGCAATTCAGTGGGAGACAGGTTCTTAAATGTAAGCATTACTTAAGCTGCCACTGCTATCTAAATAGCATTTTGCTTGCAAACTCTTACTTTTAGATGACAAGTCAGACAGTTTAATTACAGAGTTAACATATTCCTTAAGATGGGGTTTTGAAGTATTTTGAAAAAACGGTTTCAGAAGGAGAAAAGCAGCTCATTTTTTCCTTTACTTTTTACAGTCGACAAAAATAGCATTTAAAGCAATTATTCATCTGGTGACAAGTAAATCTGAAGAAATACCTGTAGGCATTATTTTTATAAAAGAATATATTCAGAAATGAATGTTTTTTAGATGCTTTTAAGACTTTTTGATGTGGTTCACTGTGTGATTTTCTCTTGTTAGCCAAAAAAGGGATAGTTTTTCTGTAATTTTTACAGGAATACTATTACAATCAAGTGGAAAACAGCAGATTACAGCAACCATAATAAAGATTGTTTTTTAAAAGCATACATAAGGGCTACGAGTATATAACAAAACATTAAGGCAAAGATATTATTTCTGGATGGTGGAATTACAAATTGTTTTTTTATATATCAAATACATTTCTTGTAAAAAAAACTGCATTAAAAAAGATGACTAGTGGGGCGCCTGGTTGGCTTAGTCAGTTGGACGTCTGCCTTAGGCTCAGGTCATGATCTCAGGGTCCTGGGATTGAGTCCTGTGCCAGGCTCCCTGCTCTGCAGGGAGTCAGCTTCTCCCTCTGCCCCTTCCCCTGCTCATACTCTCTCTCTCTCTCAAATAAATAAAATATTTTTTTTAAAAAAAAATGATGACTAGTATTTCAGTAATGTCTATCAACATGCAAATGAGCATGAAATGTATATTTCCTGACAATATTTCATTATTTTAATAAAATCTATTTGTCAACAGTTTCTCCAAATTTTAAAATGTTAAAAAAATAATAAACCTACTAAATTATTGTCAAGGGAAGTATTATCACAAAACAGAGATCATAAATCATGATTTTCATCAAAAGAAAAATCCATCTTAGCCCACTGGGATTATGGATTACTATTAAACACTCTTAAGTTATAAAATGACGTTCATCCCAAATTACTTCAACATCACCGCTGAAGTTACACAATCCTTAAAGAGAAACCAAAGGCTTGGGAAAGAGGCAGAGAGACATGGTGCCAGTGAACTCGGTGTCCAGGAGTAAAGGCAAATTGTAGATGAGTCCAAACTGGCTATCAAGTTAAGAGGCCATCAATATGACAACATTTGATGTTGTCTGATGTTATTTATTCAATTGGCCAATTAATAATACTGTTAGCTACTACTTGTTAGAGTAGGAAAATGAAGGTTAGTCAATTTTGAAAAATCATCCAATAATCCATCCTCTTTAGTCAGCAACATTTCAAAACAACATTATTCTGCTTTTAGTGCTGTCCAATAGGCTCAGCAAACTTATGTTCAGATTTTTAAACACAACTTTAAAATAGGACCACCACCCTGGCCAAAGGCCACGGACAAAAAATGCAGGCTTAGAACAAATTTGGGCCAATTTTCTAATATGCATGAAGGAAAGGGCCAAAAAGTCCTTAGCATTTTCTACTTACTTGAAGTGCAAAATATTTGTACAGGTATGCTCCTCCTAGAATGACACCTGCAAGCATAAATGCTAGTCCAAAGCACATGCACCAACACCAGGCTCTTCTTTGGCCAACTGGTACCACTTCATCTGGGTCCTAAAATATGAAAAAAGACCCAACAACGGTCAATATTGTATCTCCTGTCAGAACCACAGAAAGGTCAGGATTCAAAGAAGCCTAAAAAGGATTATCATTTTATAAACAAAGATAATAAAGACCAATGGACTCAGGTCTCTAATCAAAATTAACCCAGGAATTATTAAATGGTGGTGGTGCCGGGATTCACCACAATGTCTCTTGAGCTGAGCCATCAATCTCTTAGGAGAGTTTTGCCTTCTTCTCTCAACACCTTTGCTACTCATAGCCCCAGAACAATAACATACTACATAATTTCTATTTTCTGTGCACAACTTTGGTGATTAAGATATCTCCTAACATTTAAAAATTCAGAAAAGGCCACAACACAACTTTGCCAGGCAGTATTATGGTGCTGAGCCTTATATACAACCTCAGTGTGTATTACATCATATTATAAAATTATGTTATTAGCCTGCTACAGGTAGTTCATTATTTCATAGCAGGTATCAAACCACTCCTAACAATACACAAGAAAAAGTAACAGGAAAATAAGGGACAGAACAAATAATATGAAACAAATTCTTTAAACAATTGGAGTCTTGAAATAATTCTATAATTTTACTGCCCAACCCTAAAAAACACATCCCAGTTTGACAAAGGTCTTCATTTTTAAGATAGAAGCAATAGAAAAATGAGGAAAGATTAAACAGGAAAAAAACCTTGTAAAGTCAAGAGACATACAATTAGTTAGAATTTTGATTTTGATCCACTCCAGGAAATAATTTAGCCTTAGAATGTCAAATGGGGTCACAATATTCAGTCCTTTAAATACTCCCATTGCCCTTCTAACTCACACTACTCTGTCACTTCAGATTTACATCTCATTTCTGATTTGTACCCAGTATCACATCAAAGAGCTGACAAATGAGATTAGCTGCTCCTGGTATCTAACTCGTGGCTCAAGATATATTGTACAGACAGCAAAAGAAAGGCTCCAATTGACTTGAAAACAACGTAATAAAAGATGTTCTAGTTAGTAGTATGTATGTACAGCCTCTCGAGTATAGGACTCTGATCTTTGCTTGGAAAACTCAATATAGGATGTATTAAGGGAGAATCGCTTCTCGGCTTTTTGACTAAGATCAAGTAGATTTGATCCACACCTCTACAGATAAATAGGATATAAATAAAAAGGAAGAAAACTTCTATCAACAATGCTGGATATGGTCAAAGCAAGAATACAGTTAAGAAAGAATGAAAGCTAAGGTTACGTTTTCAATGCTAAGATGAGGAATTTCAACTTGATACTACTGAGAAAAAGCCCAATCCCAGATGTCCCAAACAGCCAATAACACTTTAGAGCTAGACAGTGTGCGACTAGGTTAACTGAGGTTTTAAACATAGAATTTAATACTGTAGAACAAATGCCTTTTAACTTAATGATCAGATCAGACACTGTGAGGGCATTTACACTTTGCTGTAGTAGGTGATCTTGCCAATGTACTGTACACGTACTTAAGACAAGGGTACTACAAAGCAGTATGTAAAAAGAATAAGCCTAGAGTAATTTATCAAGCCATCTAAGATATTCCATCTTTAAACAAAGTTACAAGAATTCCATGGAGTCATAAAGTCGTAGTAGTATGAAACTTGAATTATTAAAGTCTAGTATTTTGCTTGAGCCCTTGTCTGATATAAATACCTAAGGAGATAAGAAACAGTTCCTAGCATAATTAATTTTAGGGTGGAGGCAGGGTGGGGGGGATGGAGATGACAGATGGAAACAGTCATTTCCAAACATTTGGTATCAGCTGCTAAGACAGTCAAATGTGCGTACAACACCCACCCTGTTTGGCAGACTCCCTTCTCTAGTAGCACATAAATGAATATCCAAAGACCATGGGCAGACACTTATAAAAAAAAAAATATGCAGCCCCAACTGTCAAACTGATGCAAGTTTCCAGGCCTTTTAATATGTCATTTTTAACTGGTCAGCAAATTTCAAGAACAAATTATAAAATGTCTACTATGTGCCAAGAGCTGTGCTAGGCACTGGTATATAGCCCCTGCCAAGAAAGAGATCATTCAGATCAGCCTGGAAAATAAATACACAAAGAGAACACGAACATGATATGGACTCTTAACAGAAGAATGTAGAGCACAGAACAAGGGATAGTGTTTGGAGTAGGTCTCCCAGAGGAGAAAACACTAGAGTGGAATGTTGAAGGACAAATGCTCATTACCCACACAGAAGAGAGAGTTAAAGGGCATTATACTGAAGGCAAAGAATGAATAAAATCATGGAACCAGAATGCATGACATCTCCAAGGGCCACATGTGCTATGGCTGGCGTGCCCAATATGTGGGGAGGCTACAAGAAATAAAAATGGAGTGTTAACTGGGGCAGATCACAAAGGGCCTTTATATACCATGCTACGGAGTTCAAATTCTCATGTTCATTCAAAAATCACACTTCTGGACAATGACAATTTAAAAAATTAAATTTCTCTAAGAATTTAATTTATAAAATGCTTCACTTATCTACAGGTCATTTGTTTGGTACTTCAACAATATGAACCATGGCTTAAGAATCAGAAACTAAGTCTTCAAATGACCACATTATAGACCCAAGTCCATGCACCACAGTCATGTACTTCCTACTTCTAAAAGAGCTATCAGAGCTCCAAAATCTATCTAATCTCTTTTTTTCTCAATTTCTAGTGATCATTTCCTACCTTGCATTAGAATAATTCACATACACATTTTCTCTCTCCCTATTAGGGTATAAGGTTCTTGGGACTATCCATTCCTATTTATTTTGCATTACTGGTAGCTCCAAGCCAAGCTTAGCACTTGGATGGCACTCAACAAATATTTGATGAGTGAATGAAATTTAGATTTGTTTTTAAAGCTTGGTTACTTATTTTTTTTTAATGACCCATAAAAGTTACATCAACAGCCAGCACGTTAACGAGGGGTGGGGGCAACGTAAGAATTCACAACACACAACAGAGAGCGGCGATTCAGCAAGGAACAGCAGCCCTAAGTAGCCCAGTTCAACATTTGTTAGGGACCTGTTACTGGCAATATACGGTGCATGATCCAGTGGGAAATCCAAATGTGATTAAGGCATGGCTCATGTCTTAAGTAATTTACAGTCAAAATTAACACTATTTATGACAGACAATGACATACGGTATTACAATCTGACTCATGGAGAAAGCATTAAATATATTGAAGACAAAAAAGTTCTTAATCTATGTGATTTATTAAAAGTGTATTTTAAATGATTAACACTGGAAAGAGTAAGCTTAAAGAAAAGGCCACATATATAAGATTTAAGAAGAAAAGCCCCATGACCATCTCAAAATATGTCAAATATGCATTTGACAAACTCCCAACTCCCATTCATAATAAAATCTCTTTGCAGGGCGCCTGGGTGGCTCAGTTGGTTAAGCGACTGCCTTCGGCTCAGGTCATGATCCTGGAGTCCCAGGATCGAGTCCCACATCGGGCTCCCTGCTCAGCGGGGAGTCTGCTTCTCCCTCTCCCGCTCCCCCACTCTTATGCTCTCTCTCTCTCTCATTCTCTCTCTCATGTAAATAAATAAAATCTTAAAAAAAAAATCTCTTTGCAAACTGGAAAGAAGGGGAACTCTAATATGAATAAGGGTAATAATGACCAAAAACCTACAGCAAACCTCACACTTAATGGGGGAACTTCAGACTTATAACATTAACCTTTCAAGTCAGGAATTATGAGGGTTGCCCACTAAAACGGACTCTATTTCCATCCAACATTATACTAAAGGTCCTACCTAGTACACAAGTGACAAGCACAAGAACAGATATAAAGATTACAAAGGAGAATGCAAAACTATCATTATGTGTAAATGGTATCACTGTCTAGAAAATCTGAGAAAGTAAAGTTCAGCAAGATTGCTGAAGATCAGTAATTAAAAATCAACTGAGGGGCGCCTGGGTGGCTCAGTCGTTAAGCGTCTGCCTTCGGCTCACGTCATGATACCAGGGTCCTGGGATCGAGCCCCGCATCGGGCTCCCTGCTCCGCGGGAAGCCTGCTTCTCCCTCTCCCACTCCTCCTGCTTGTGTTCCCTCTCTCACTGCTTCTCTATCAAATAAATAAATAAAATCTTTAAAAAAAAATTAAAAAAATAAAAAATAAAAAATAAATCAACTGAGTCAAAGATTTATATATTAGTCATACCATCATTATTCATAATAGCCCCAAACTAGGGACAACACAAATATCCACTAAATGATGAATGGATAAATTGTGGTATATTCATACTGTATCAAAACTATGCTAAGTGAAACAAACCCGACATAAAAGATTACTTATTACATGACTCCATTTTTATGAAATTCCAGAAAAGGCAAATATAGTGACAAAAAAGCTCAGTGGCTGCCATGGCCAAGAACTGGTGAGGGGGAGATTGAAGATATATAAGGAAGTTTTTTAAGATAATGGAAATGTTTCGTATCTTGATGGTGGGGGATATACAACTTTATACAATTACCATAAATTCAATCAAGTCATACACATAGAATGGGTGAATTTTATTGTGTGTAAATTATATTTCGATATAGGAAGTGAGGGGAGGAAAAAAAAAAAAAATCAACCGAGTTCCTATTATAGCAGGCAACAAGAAAAGTCTAACAATACCAAGTTCTAGGGTAAGTGTGGAGCAACGGGAATTGAGAACTTTCATACAGTTGGCAGGAGTTGGTACAACTGCTTGGAGAACAATTTAGCAGTATCTAATTCCACACACACACAAACACCCCCTATGACCCAGCAATTCCATTTCTAGGAATGTAGCCCTAGATAAAGTTTTATACATGTACATAAAGAAAAAGGTCCAATAATGATTACTGCAGAATGGTCAATAAGAGAAAAATTAGAAATAACTTACATGTCCATCAAGTGGAGAATAAAGTATTATAGGTTCATATAATAATAATTAAAATGAAATCAACTAGCATAGTTGATTTTAAGA